TCCTGCTGATCCAGAATCAGGCCTCCAAACTATGCAGGATGGATATTAAGAGTGGTATGCTGGTCTACTCCCCAGGGACCCTCTGGGCTGGAGTGCAGTTCTCTCTTCCATCCTCACCAGGGTGCTGGGAGCTCCCCAGCCCAAGGGGGATGGCCATCGCTGAGCCCTTTTAGCAGTTGTCACTGAATCAGCCAATGCAGGTTTGGGTTCTGACCAGCAGCTCTGGACTGGGCATTTAATGTCATAGACTAAAAGCTCAAAGCACGCACCCTGGCCTTTCAGGTGCTTGAGGTTTGCTTTGTCACTGAGCAAAGGGTGCTCTGGGTTTGCCTTTGTCATTGGGGAGGTGGGACTTTCCAGCGGACGTGAAGGTCCAGGCTGCTTCATCTCCCTGAGCCCTTACAGCAAGGATGGGCAGGTGGGTGGTCTGGGTCCACGTGTGGCCGTCTCTCACCCTACCCATTTCTCTGCAGCCTTGCTCTACAAGCCTGTGGACCGGGTGACACGCAGTACGCTGGTCCTGCACGTGAGTCACCCCTCCCCCCAGGACTTCTCACCCTGGGGTTCTTGGCTTCTGCTATTCTGGGGCTGTCATTGGTGTTTGTCAGTTTCACCCACCTACCACGCTTTTACTGCTACATATCTTTACCGAAGATGCAAAAATGAGGTGCCCCCGCCATCCAGTGGCTTACGGAGGAATAGAGGGAGGAATGGAGTAGACTCTCCAGGTTTCCTAGGTTCTCTCATGGGTGTGGGCAGAGGGAGGGAGCATGCCATCCCACATGGGAAGGGTCTTGTGGTCACATCACATGAACTGGGCCTCCAAGGTTGTAGGGGCGAGGGTGCAGGCAGTGGGTGCAGTCCAGGGCCTTGGGGGTGACCACTGCCTCAGAGCCTGGGGAGGGGGTGCGTGAGGAGGCCCCGCCTCAGCCGGGCTGCTCCTGAAGGCATTGGGGAGTCACTGGAGAGGTTGTCTTAATACTAAGAAACAAAACCAGCAAACAAAAATGACCTAATCCTACTGCCCAAGCGACTCTGTTCACATATATTTGGAGAAAGTCGTACATGTGTTGTCGTTGTTGTTGTTATTGTTGTTGTTGTTGTCGTCGTCGTCTTTAATTTACAACCAAGTTGCAAAAGTGTGTGTAGTTTCTATTTCCTTTCCCACTTCCTCTCCGCAAAGGAGCCGCCACCACAAGGTTTTTTATACACGCGCCAACTCATGTGAACATCTTTTTTAATTACGCGGAGGGCGTTGTGCTATACATATTCTACACTTTGCTTGTTTTCCCCTTAATAGCGTATCATGGGGATTGTCCTACATCGGCAGTGTGTAAACAGCTCTGCCTCATTCTCTTTGAAGCCATCCAGTATTCCATCAAATGGACGTTTCGTGATTTCTTACCATCCTCTGATTAGGAGTTGTTAGACAGAGGGAGGTGAGATGAGATTTGCAGTTTGGGAGTCTCCAGCAGACAGCTCATTGGAGTCTCAGAGACCCTGTATTCCGTGCCCTCACTGTGATTAGCCCAGGCCTGCAGAGCCAAGTGTCTTGACAGGAAGAAGCCAGAGCCGCCTGGGAGTGGCGTGGGACTGGCCTGGGGCCACTGACATACAAGCCATCCTCTGTGCTTATTTCATCTCTCCAGATTCTCTTTGCTCATAGGATTTGGGAGCTAAGGGGATTTTGTTCCTCTGAACCAGGGAGCTGTTGACCTTGAGCACGAATTACGTGCATTCCTAGTAGAGAAAGAGTCAATACTCCCATCTTAAATCTTAGGCTCTTATCTAAAAGAAGAGGAGCTGGGGAGGCCAGGTGTTTTCTCCTGATCTCTCACTGACCAGTGGTCCTGGATCAGACCGATTCCGCCCTCTAGGGGCCATGCTCCCGCGTCCAGAGATATTTTTGGTTGTCACAACCACAGATGAGAAGATGCTACTGACATCTAGTGGGCAGAGGCCAGGGATGCTGCTAGCATCCTACAGTACACAGGACAGCCCCCTCGTTAAAGAATCTCGCAGCCCAGAATGTCACCAGTGCCGAGGGGAGAAAGCCTGCCTTAGACCCTTGAAGTAGGAGGCCCTGTTGACAGTGTGCAAACAGCCCGGGCTTGTGGGAGTGTTGTTTAAGACCCGCTTCCAGCGTGGTGCTTGCTCAAGTGCTACTCATGTAGCCCGGGCCCATTGTGAGAGGTGGCAGCGATGCCTGGGGAGCTGGCAGCCCTGTGTGTTACGCCCAGTGTGTGTCTGGGGTTTGTGCACAGCAGTGGGTGCTGGGGCCTCGCTCTCTCTAACTTGAGTCCTCTCACTGCGATGCAGGACTTGCTGAAACACACGCCCTCCAGCCACCCCGACCACCCTCTGCTGCAGGACGCCCTTCGCATCTCGCAGAACTTCCTGTCTGGCATCAACGAGGAGATCACACCCCGCCGGCAGTCCATGACGGTGAAGAAGGGTGAGGTGAGTGTGGCGGGGTGCTTAGGGTTTGCCCAGCCCGAGCTGGAAGATGAGGAGCCTGTCTCTGGCCTTCAGCAGACTGTTCCTGAACAGTTCAGCCTAACACAGGAAACTCATTGCCTTTTGGGGTTCTTCACCCGGGTGGGACAAAACCCAGTCTTTTGTGCAGGGCATTGGAGTAGAGTTTCAGGGGTGTGCGCTTCGCTCGGCTTCCTCTTTTTCCGTCGTAGTGGGTTTTGTCCAGGGTACCCCTTCTTTTCTCCACACCTTGCCAGCTTGGGGTCCCAATGTGAAGGAGGATGGCATTTAGTCTGCCCAGACCCACCTAGCTCCTCCTGAGTGATATAAGCATTTCAAATGGGGAAGAAAGGGAAGCATACGCAGTGTGCAGTGAGACCGGCTAGAGGGTGCGGGCTTGCCATCCTTGGCCAGGAAGGTTCTTCCTACCCCTCTTCTCCACCCCCACCCCCCGCCCACTGACAGCCACCACCCAGTTCATCTCTCCGCGCATCCTGGATAAGAGGGCGTAGAACAGGCAGCTCAGAACACACTGACTCAGCCCGCCTGGTGGCCTCCGCTCCTGCTGCCTCTGCCCCTTCCTGGGAGGAGCCCAGCCTGGTGCCAGGCAGGTGCCATCCAGGGCAGACAATGTGTAGTGAGACAGCAGAGGGGTGCCGGTGTCCATTGCGAGCGTCCTTTGTCAGAAGGGGCACTAAGGCAAGGGGAGCCAACCCGTGGCCTCTGGGGTCTCGTGCAGAGATAGGAGGCTTCTGGCACAGGCAGGACAAGGGCTGGCAGTGAACCTGACTGTAGCTGCCACTGAGAGCCACCTTCCCCTCTTCCTTGTGGTTTGTGTGCCAGGTGCTTGGTGCTGGGGGCTGACCCGCCTAGTATCCGGGTTTCTTTTCCTCCTCCAACCCTGGACTGGTCAGCAGGCCGCTGTCAGCCCCATCCTCCCCACACCTCTTTGGGAAGTGGCTCCCATGTGCCCAGAGTCTCATCAGACCTGGCCACGAGTGTGTGGCTTGGTCAGATGTCTCCTGGTCAGCCCAGCCCAGGAAGGGCTGTGGAAGAGAGAGCCGTCCCCTCCACCCCACTCTCTGGCACAGGGATCCGATGCCAGCCCTGCTGCAGACTCACCCACTGGGGGGGACCTGGAACGTGTGCCCCTCCTCCCTAGACTCATTTTACAGGTGGGAACACGGCCCAGCCACCATGCATGGTGGTGATCCTGGCTGTATGTGTTAGCTCCTTGGCAGGAGGGAGTCCCCAGCACCTCCCAGGGGCTGCATACCCAAATGTCCAATGGCTGGGACCTAAGGAAAGGCTTCTTACCCCTCTTTTCCTGGAGCAACAATGGAGCCCTGGTTCTCACACACACACACACAAGCACACACACGCACACATACGCACACCCAGGGGACTATAGAAAAAGAGCAAAGCTTTGGCTCCCATGTCAGCAGTTCACCCAGATCTAACCAGAAGTGGGGTTTGCCTCTCCCAGGACTCCCTGTACCGGTCAGGTTGGTGCCGGCTCCCTCGTGCCTCCAGGGACACCTGCTCTTTCTGTTTTGCTGACTCTTCTTTTATGAGAGTGCTGATCTCATAAAAGAAGCAAGTGTGGGAGTCCATTCTCCCCTCTGGCTTTTCATGTGGTGCTGAGTCTGTCTCACCCCACCTCATCCCACCTCCCATCCCCATTTAGGATCCTCAGAGACAAATACCTTCTCGCTCTTTGGATCTTTAGAGGCAGCTGCCTTAGGGAATTGAGGAAAATCAGATGTTGCCTGGCAGTTGGCAGTCTGGCCCTTGTCCCTACATCTGTCATCACAAGCCTTCCCTGCTGACCCGTGGTCAGAAGCTCAGGGACACCGAGCAGGAAGTGTGCAGGGGCCAGGCACTTCACGAGGCAGGGGCTTTTGTCTGTGCCCATGCCCAGCCCCTAGCAGCAGCTGGCCTTTTCGGCTTCAACAAGAGAAATCACTTGGGTACCTCGACTGTGAAGTTGGGAGGGTGGGAGGGCCAGTGACCTCTGAAGGGTCATGAGTGTGGCTTACATACCTTCGTTCAGAACTTTCTGTCTGTCTGGTGCACAGTAAGGGAGGTGGTGGCTAGGCCAGGATGGCAGACACCTTCAAACCCCTGCCTCCAGGCCATTCCAGGGGCCGATATCACTAATCAGTCATCCACTTGTACTTTGAACTGGTTGCAGCCTGAGCATCCTCCTCAGCGTACCTTCCGGTGGCCCAAGCCACTTTGCGGCCCTGATGCAGTAGAAGGGACACCAGATCCGGGTTCAGTCTTGCCCACTGCTTACCAGCAATATTGATTTGGGGACACCCTTTTTTGGAGGGGGTGTGCTGGGTGTCTGTGCTCTCTGAGAGCAGTGGCTCCGGGCCCACGGCGTCTCCATGAGGTGGTTATGAGGCTGAAAGGGTTTCGTGACCCAAGAGGAACTATACGAAAGCGAAGTGTTAGGATTCCTTACATGGGCGCCATCTGTGTTAGAGGTGGGGGGAGAGCGCCCCCCTCATCATCCCGGGGTGAGAGCGGCAGGTGCTTCCTTTCAGAAGTGGCAGCTGGGGAGGGCCTGAGCTTGGGAAACACCTATCGTTTCCCATGTGCCCACCTCTAAATTTGGTATATGATGTCAAATATTAAGTTTCCAAAGGTAGAGAGGGACTGTGCTTCTGAGTTCTCATGCCGACTCTGTGAAGTCAGAGGTGTTCTCCCATCTTCCAGGTGAGGAAACTGTGGCTCGGAGAGGTTGAGTGACTTACCCATGGATACACAGCTACTATGTAGCTAAAGCAGGATATGAAGCCAGATGTCCCCTGGCACCTGTGTGTACCACACACATCTATAGGTGTGTTATGATTTATGATAGTTCCCCCCTCCCTGCCTGTGAACCAATAGGAGTGTCCACTGCATACAGAGCCAGTGAGATGCTCTCACCCTACTCAGAGGCCTTCCTCAGCCTCCTGGGAACCTGTTGTGACTGAGGGATCCTGCTGGCACATTTTCCTCCCAGGCCCAGGTCTTGTGGGCTGGTAGGCGGGTGCTCATTCATTTAGCTGAGGAAACTTTACACTGCGAGTGATTTTCTTATGGCGCTGCCTCTCTGTCTGCTCCAGACTCTGCACCATGCGCCGGATAGCATTCCCAGCTCAGGCTTAGAAGCAAATGGGGCAATCATGTTTGGATGTTTTGTTTCCTAAGAGCTAGCCACGTCTTAGAGCCATTCTCTGCCAGGGATCCCAGAGACCACTTGTGAAAGAAGTCAGGTTGGCTGAACAGAAGCTGCTGGGGAAAAACTACTTGTGCAGGCTGAGGCAAGAGTTGGTAAGGCTCAGGCAAAAGAGTAAGGCAGCCTTTCAGTTGAGGATTAGAATTGGAGGGTCTAGATCCTATTGGAAAAGTTCGAGAGGAGCATTACGGAGAAGAGGCCATCCAGCTCAAGGGTGAAAACAGAGCCTAGGGTCTCCAGTGCACCAGACATCAGCTTACTCACCTGTAGGGTAGGGTGGGCCTAGACCACATAATATCCATATTTTCAAAGGATGTCCACTACCTGGTGGCTATTAGCTCTGCCTTCCAAGTCCCTCATAAAAAGTTGAAGGAAGCATCAGCAGACAGAAGACAAAACAGAAACAAAATAACTCGAAGCCCTAGGGCAAGTCCCCATGTCTAGGCATTTGTTGCTTTATAAATATTTGCAGATGGAGCTTGGATTCTTGACTTGTTTGGGCCAGGTTCTGATTCTTCCAAGAGTATGGGCACATTACTTCCCTTTCCGGGAAGTGTCAGAGCTGCTGCCTAGGACATTTCTTCTGAGTGAGATAAGTGTCATGGAATGGTCTCTCCGTACGAGGCTAGAAAGTGCTCAGTGAATGTTACTGCTGTGAATCGGAGGCATGCGTCCCTCTGGGCCACCTCATGCTCTAACTGCAGTGCCTAGATGGGTCATCTTGTGATGTGTCTCCAGGGCATGGAGACTAGGCTGTCACGGGGACCTTAGAGCAGAACTTTGCTCTCTCTGCAGGGAGGCCAAGTAGCCAAGCCAACTGCCAGGAGCCTGAGAACAGGCAAGGGGTGGGAAAGGGGGATGGGTAGTTCCCCTGGGCTGGTTAGGGGGGCTCTCTCATTCCTGGCTACCTGATGAACCAACGGAGCCCACCGAGTCACCCCTCAGCCAGGGGCACGGGCCTTGTTCTGGGGCTCAGGAGTTCTGGGGCTGGCTGCTAGCCTTCTCCGGGGCCAGAACAAGTGGAATCCAGGAGCAAAGCCGGGCAAAGCTGGGCCCACCTGGAGCAAAGCCGGGCCCACCCTCAGCCGGCAACCATCACCTCCACCTTGACCCTCACCTTGGCCCTCTTCCTTCCTCTCCTCCGCCCCCACCTGGGCCTGTCTTGGCGACTTTTCGTGGTCCGACCTAGCAGGCCCTGCTGAAATTAGTGCTGGTTGTTTATCTTCAAACTAGTTTCTATACCTGAGGAACCTTCTTGTCTCCGCCCCACGGACCGTGCTCCTGGCTTCCTTACATGTATATTTAGTTTGCTAAGGCTGCTGTAACAAAGGGCCATCGACATGGGGACTTAAACAACAGGCGTTCATGTCTCTCAGTTCTGAAGTCCAAGATCAGAGAGCCAGCAAGCACGCTCAGGGTCTGGTGACGGCCTGCGTCCTGGTTTGCAGATGGCTACCTTCTCACTGTGTGTTTACACGGCCTTTCCTCACTGTGTGCACAGAGAAAGACAGGTCGCTTTCCTCCTTGTCTTACAAGGAGACCAATCCCATGATGGCGTCCCACCCTCACGACCTCCTTAGCCTAGTCACTCCACAAAGGCCCCACCTCCAAATACCATGCTAGGGGTTAGGGCTTCAATATATGAATTTGGGGGAACACAAACACTCATCCCATAACAGGGCACCGTGGGGTAGTGACCCAGGTGTGGCCCATGCCCTGCCCCTGCCTGCGTCCCCTGGAGGACCTGACAGGTGGACTGGACCAGAAGTTGGTGCTGGTTCTGAGGACCTGAGAACAGGGTTGGTGAGCATTTGAGACGGACATCTCCTGGGCAGACACAGGCCCCTTGCTTCTGCACTGGTCCCGTGTGGGCTGGCAGGGTGTCCCCACAGGAGCCCAGGTTCCAGAGAGGAGGCCCGAGTGATGGCTGAAGGGTCCAGCAGCCTCTCCAGATACCACTCAGAGGGCAGAGCAGCCCCTCGTCAGGCTTCGCACAGGCTCACTGTTGGATCTCTGTTCACTGCCTCCTCTCTGAACCTCAAAGGAGGCATCCGCCCAGGGTCGGGGTGCAGACGGTGTCAGGGTGGGAACACCAGCCTTAACAGTCTGTGCCCCAGGCCTGCGAAGTCCTCGTCTCACAGGACTACTCCCAGACCTGGGAGGCTTGGGGGATGGATACAGTGACACCCAGCCCCTCAGCCAGGATTCAGACTCCTTTGTGGATTTGCCGGTGCCTCAGTTGGGGCCCTGTTTTTCTGGGGCTGGGAGGCCCCTCCTGCCCAGGTACAGAATATTTTCTCTTGAGGTTATAAGACCCCCGGGGTGGGGCGACCTAGGGTCCAGCAGCAAGGCCTGGCCTCTCTGGAGGGAGGGCAACTGTGACGTGATGGGGAAAACTGTGACATACATTGATTCACGGGCTCCTCCCACTGCCCTCAGAGATGAGATGCAGCACAGAATGGGGTTCAGGCCAGGACACTGCAGGGCCGGCAGGGCTGGCCAGAAGTGTCGGGCACCCATGGCTTCAAGGCTTCTCTTAAAAAGGTGAGGGTTTGCACAGGCAGGGGTGCGTGCGGAGGGGCCAGGTGGCTGAGTCCTCCTGTCAGAGCCCAGAGGGGCAGGTGCACTCCTCACACTCAGTCCTGTGTCCTTTCAACACAGCGGGGCAGTCACACGGGCTGCCACAAGTGCCAGGGTAATACGTGGCGGCCTCATAGAGGACAAAAGTGACACCTGAGGTGGGACTTCACACGCACATGTGAGCAACAGGATCTGTCATGGAGTCAGTGGGCCAGCTGGAGGTTGCGGGTGGTCAGTGCAGGGACTCTGGGCGTTTCTGACCTGCCAGCAGAGGGAACCCTGTTGAGTCCACTTCTGAGCTGGGTGTAGGACGCCCTCTGCTGGTGATGGTCAGAAGCTCAGCTTCTTTCTATGGGGAAAAGACTGCCGACCTCCCCATGTTACCACACCTCATAGAGGGTCCCTTGGTTCCCACGCCTCCTGAGGAGGCATCTGTCCATTCATCCCTTGAGGACCTCAGTGTCCCAGGACCCTCCCAGACCTGCCCCTGATGCAGACCCAGCAGTCAGGTCTTGCCCAGGGTCTCCAATGCTGTCTGGACATTTCTTCAGGCACACAGTTTCCTGCTTCCCATGAGTGCCAGTGCCAGGCATGCCATCTGCCCATGGCAGGCGGAACGAGGGTGTGTGATAGTGAGTCATGTCCTTGGCACACCAGTAACCTTCCTGCCCTTCCACTCATGGTCTGGAAGGCACCAGCGGCTTCCATGTAAATCATTGGCTTTCCTGAGCCAGGGGTTGGCTGGCTGTTGTAAGCTGAGCTGTGTGAGACAGACAGTGATGTGCAGTTTTTAGTGTTGAGGGGACTGGCCCCGGTTGCTCTTGCTTCTGGGGGGCTCTGCTGCTTCTGTATAAGCCTGCTGAAGACACTGGGAAGATGGAGACAAGCGACTTCTGCTAGGGTGACGCTGTGGGTCTTCGCCTACTCTGCGTGTGTGCAGACCCACTGGACCCTTCCCCAGCCATCACAGTGAGGGGCAGGAGTCGCTCTCTGTGGGGAGGTCTCCCCTGAGGCCAGGTGAGCTAGATGCTCACTAAGCACCTCATCTCTCTCCCTGGGGCTTGTGGGTTCCTGGGGGCAGATTCTGCCTCAGGTTGCCACTTGCTCGCTGTGCCACCTGAGACAGGTGGTAGAGCATTCTGAGGCTCAGACTTGTCATCTGCAAAATGGGCATGAGGTCCTGCCCACAGGGTGTGATGGGAATCAGGCCATGTCTTCATGCAGCACACCAGGACATGTGTGGGCAGGGCTAGGCATGTTAGCTTCTCCTGTCTCTGTGTCCTTAGCCTGGCACAGCACTGACCTGAATGAGGTGCCAGGCACTGTTTGTCGGGTGCAATACCAACTTGCCTTTATGTGCCCATTCAGGGGGCTATGTGAGCCAGTGGGATCATCCATTGTCTTTCAGATGAAGTACCAAGTTGCAGAGGCACGGGGCTTGCTGGAGGCTGGTGCCTCTAGTTCCCCTGCTCGTTCGAGGTCCAGTGAGCCAAGGGAAGGCCTCCTCAGGGTGGTTGGACGGCCTGAGCTACCCACCTTGGGCTACAGGTGTCCAGGTGGACATCAGAGATGTAACCACCCTGTGGGCCCCTGCCTGTCAGTGGGCACTGACTTCTGGAGGACCAGAATATGGGTCCCAGTTGCGGGCCCCCTGCCCGGCTTTCTGCTGCCCTCAGAACCAGACCCCGCCCTTGGGGCGACTGCCAGGGCTGCCCTCTCTCAGAGTGCACTGAGCCCCCCCGCCCCCTGCGCCCCCTCACCCCTGACCAGGCTGCCCCGTCTGTGCCCGAGCACCAAGCACTTCTCGCCACAGGCCTGCACCATGACAGTCCCTCTGTGGGAATGTTCCCTCCTTCACATGGCTGGCCTTGGCCCATTCCGGGTCTCCAGTTGCTATCCCAGAGAGGCACAGGCTGCCCTGCTTAGAGGGGTTCTCCCACCATCATTTCACAGCAGACTGTTGACTCGGCTGTAACATACCCTCCCCAGGCTCCAGGCCAATGGCCATTACCCCGTCCACTCACCCTCTTTTGCTGGCCGAGCAACCAGGAGGGGCTCGGAAACTGTTGAGCAAAGAGGAAAGCATGGGGCATGTGTGTTCGCAGGCCAGTGAGATAGAGGGAACACTCTGGAAAGTAGGCCCGATGGTTAGAGGTGCAGGGAACGAAGGCTACCCCACCAGCTGGCCCGCGGCCCTAACTCGAGCCCTCACTCTGCTCCTCAGCACCGGCAGCTGCTGAAGGACAGCTTCATGGTCGAGCTGGTGGAGGGCGCCCGCAAGCTGCGCCACGTCTTCCTGTTCACTGACCTGCTCCTCTGCACCAAGCTCAAGAAGCAGAGCGGAGGGTGAGTGGCCACTGGACGGGCAGGGTTTCGGGTTTGGGGGCACAGAGTTAGTTTTATGTGTAGAAGAAACCTAGGTTTTTCTTACAACATGAGCCTGGAGAGGTCAGTCACTACATAACCATGCAGGTCTCTTTAAACTACGTTCTGTTGCCAACTGCATGCGATGCCAGGCTCAAGGTCAAAGGCCATCATTAACAATCTGGAGACGTTCTGGGGCAAGGTCAATGACCAGGCTGTTGGCTCCTACAGTAAACGGGAACCTGACTATGACTTCAAATGCTAGTGGAGGACTGTCATGTCATGACCCGGGAAGGGTGAGTGACAGGTCAGAGAGCTACAGGCCGGGGTGCAGTCTGGCAGGCGGTGGTGGGGTGGTAGGCCCTCCCCTGCCCTTGGAAGGCATCACTAGATGATCGCTGTACTTCGTCTCCCCAAACCTAGTGATAGCTTCTAAGTTATTTTCATTATAAGCCTACGGACCACCCCTCCACCCGAAACCTCCCCAGGGATCAGACCACCAGGTTGCACAAGCTGGAATGGAAGAAAGGGTCATGTTGGGAAGGACTGGAACTGGGCTCTTCCCCCAATTCAGCCATTGCTCTGCTGAGTGGATTTAATCAGTCAACTCAGAAGAGAGCCTCAGTTTCCCTATCTGTCAAGGAAGGGGATTACACTGGGTAAATCTGTAGCCCCTCAAATGCTACAGCTCTGGGGGTATCTACAGTCCTATCCTGATTGACATTGGGTGGCCTTAATGTGCTCCCACATCACAGAGCCTGTGAGCCACCACTGTCATCGAGGATAAGGTGGATCAGGGCTCATCAGACCCTCTGGGGCCTGGGTCACCCATGTCGAGTGCCTATTCCCAGGAGTCACCGAGGCTGGGTCATCAGTGTCTGCCAGTGGCTTTATGCCAGCCTGTCACGTGGACCACGGGCTGGGTTTTCAGGTTGGGTAAACTGTGCACAGCCACAAACTTAAGATTCTTCACCTTTCGAAAGCAGTGATATTAGCAAAAGAAGATGATCGGGGTGTTAATGCACTGCTCCCTCTCCCCCACCCCAGCAAAACCCAGCAGTACGACTGTAAATGGTACATCCCGCTCACGGATCTCAGCTTCCAGACAGTGGACGAGTCAGAGGCTGCACCCAACATCCCCTTGGTGCTGGACGAGGAGCTGGATGCCATGAAGATCAAGATCTCCCAGATCAAGAGTGACATCCAGAGAGAGAAGGTGGGGGACGGAGGAGGCCGAGCTCTGTAGCTGGAGCGGGCAGCAGCCTCTCACACACGGGCCAGTGGGCAAGTTCTGCTGAGCATCCGACCCCACTTCTGGTCTCTGGGACCTTCTGGGCATCCCTGTCAGACCAGGAGCTGTCCAGGACTTGAGCTGGGAGAGGCACCCAGTGGCTATGATAGGGAGAGTCCCAGGGAGGCGCTGCGGCCCCCTCCAGGTATCCTGGACTGCCTCAGGCAGGCCCCTGATTGTTCCCAGGGAGTTTTAGAAGACTTTAGGAACAGCGAGGATCAGCCCCTCGTGTGTAGATTTAGCCCGAGCAGGTGGCACGTGGTGGCCATTGACAAGGCAAGTCCCTAGAAGGTTGGGCCTTGGTCTGGAGACATCTGGCTGAGGCGGATGCAACAGGACAGGGGTCCTCACTCGCGCACCTGCCAGCCTGCTGCTCCGCAGACCCAGCGGATTGAGGAAAGCGCAAGGCGGCCGGCACGAATGCTGGGTTGTTACTCGTCCAGACGGGCCTCTGGGGCAGAGGGGAAGCGAGGGCTGCGTCCTCGGGGCTGTCAAGGCCTGCGCCCGGCCACCCGCTGCTCTCACCCTCTTCTGCCCTTTCGTCCAGCGGCAGGCGACACAGTCACAGGGACGGAGGGGTTTCTGGAGGCAGGAACATGGCACAAGGCAGGCAGGATTTCCCTGCCCAGGTCCTGGGGATGCATCTGGCCCTCCCTCGGGATCCCCACAAACACTCCCAGGGGTCCCGATGCTGAAATATGGGTGGATCCAGGAGGGGAAGGGGCCCTTGGGGTCACAATGTCCAAGGGGACATTGTCCAAGTTTGGAGAAACTGAAAGAAGGGAGGTTTGTAAGGGTCTCTCCTCTCTACCCTCGTGAGAGGAAGAATTTAGTTTTTTCAAGAAAGGTCGAGCACATCCAGCAGCCTGTGCTGGGCCTTGACCTGATGGCCAGCAGCGACTGACTGAGGCCCTGTGCCGTGCTAAGCTGCCAGGCAGGGTTCCTGCCCTCCATGGACCAAGTATCTGGGACAGTGGGGACAGGCCAAGTGGGAGCAGGTCGCACTGTCCCCCAGGGTGGAAATGCAACCATGCGGCTTCTCCCCACAGAGAGCGAACAAGGCCAGCAAGGCCATTGAGAGGCTGAAGAAGAAGCTCTCAGAACAGGAGTCGCTGCTCCTGCTCATGTCCCCGAGCATGGCCTTCAGGGTGCACAATCGCAATGGCAAGGTCAGTGTCCACCGTGGTCTCACTCTGCTGGCCACGCCCCCCTCTGCATCCCCCAAGCAGACCTGCCCGCCCAGCCATGTGGCAGCTGTGGTCCCTGGCTCCTGTGTGGCCTTTACAACAGCCGCCCTTTCCCCCAGGAGAGCCTTCTTACCCCGAGAGGCTTGTCCCTCATGCCACACAGGCACACAGCTCCCTCTGACCAGTGCTTTGGGTCATAGCTCCCAGGTTGACTGGCAGCTGGCTCAGCCCTCACAGGTGGGAGGTGAGGGTCTCCAGGGAGTCCAAATAAAGTGAGGGGCTCACACACTTGTACATACCCGGCCCTCAGCAGGGGAATACTGTCTGGGGACCTTTGGGCCAGAGAGGCACCTCTCCTGAGCCTAGATCCTGGCACCCTCTGTTGCCTGGCCCTCTCCCATACACATGTGATGGGCATCACACGCACTGGTCAGCATGAGGGAGGTGAGGGTCTCCAGGGAGTCCAAATAAAGTGAGGGGCTCACACACTTGTACATACCCGGCCCTCAGCAGGGGAATACTGTCTGGGGACCTTTGGGCCAGAGAGGCACCTCTCCTGAGCCTAGATCCTGGCACCCTCTGTTGCCTGGCCCTCTCCCATACACATGTGATGGGCATCACACGCACCAGTCAGCGTGACTCTGGGCTTTTTGAAAGCCTTGTCTCTGGGTCACGGCTCAGGGCTGTGGAATGGACGAAAGTGGTCGGGGTAGCATCAGGCCTCACTCTGCAGATTTGCACCTGGTAATCTCCTTCGTGCCCCTGAGCTACAGCATGTCACGCCCCGACCCAGGCAGTCCAGGCAAGAGACTGGTGCCAAAGGCAGGCCTGCATGGGGGGCAGGAGCTGTGACCCAAAACCTGGCTGGCAGGAAGGGCGGAGAGTGCCAGAAGTGACGTGGACAGTGATGGAGAGCAGCACCTGAGCTGGGGCCGAGGTAACGGGTGTGTTCCCTTTCTCGCCTCCCAGAGTTACACATTCCTGATTTCATCTGACTATGAGCGTGCCGAGTGGAGGGAGAACATCCGGGAACAGCAGAAGAAATGTGAGTGGCTTCTACACTGAGAGGACTTATGCTTGGGAACGTCAGGACTGGACGGTCATCTCGTCCTGTGGTTTCAAACCTTTTTTCCCCCGGGCAGTGGACCTCTTTTCTCCCAGTGAGATGTTAGGTGGAGCTCTAACTTAGAAAATAAATCGGAGAGAAGCGGTCTTGACAGGGCCCCCTGCCTTCTGTGTTCCCCTCTTCCCCGGCCTCCCCCAAATCCCTTGTGTACCCTACCCCCAGCTATTTCCTGACCTTTCCCTTGAACCTGTCCCCATCCCCAGGTCTTTCCTGAATTCCCCTCCCTGCCCTGATCCCTGCCTGCCCCCTGGGGCCCTCTACACCCCTGCTGCCTTCCCTGGGCCTGTCACACACATAGCCCACCACTTTGGCTACCCTCCCAGGCCTTCCCCACACCCCAGCAGCTGATGCCAAAGGGGCCGTGCTGTGCTGGTCTCACTCCCCTTTCCAAGTGGCCGGCACCTGTCCATTCTTAGGCCAGAGCACTCGCTCCCCTCTGGGGTGGCCCCTTCTCTGGGCATTTCCCTCTATTAGCATTTCTTTCCTGCTCCTCACCTCCAAGCTGCCCTTGGTCCTGCCGGGGTGGGAAGGCAGACCCCACCCCGGGTCCTAGGGCAGCTGCTGCGTGGAAGTTCCCTCCTCTACCCCAAGCCGTGTGGTTTGGGATTCTTGAGCCATCCTTGCTAAGAGCTTCTCAGGTGTGCCTTGTGTGCCATTGTCCCTTGGTGGCCAGGAGCCATATCCCGGATGACCTGGTCCTCCCACAGCCATGGGCCACCTTGGTTCACTTGCTGCACACACACACTAGGCTGGAGCCTCTGAATGACTCTGCCCTGGCCATTCGTGCCTGTGCTGAGCTGCACTCCCCCAGTGCCCATGCATCTGGGGATGGGGTGCTCCTGGCAGCTCTGATGGCCGGTGCCTGCAGCCCTGCCATGCCCATGTACCAGGATTTCCTGTTATAATCAAGGACCCAAACCATTTGCAGTGTGGCAGCATCTCTTACCTGCTTAGCATTAGACCAGAAATAATCCCCTTTCCTTATCTGTTGGAGAGATAGGGGCTACATTAGCAGAGTAGGGGACAGGGCTGTGCCGGTGTCTGGGGAGACCCCACAGAAAGATACTCCGGGTCTCTCTCTCAGAAATGTCTGTGGCTGTGCTGAGGTGGCAGGCCGACTCCTGTATTTATAAGGTGCTAAAATTCCTCCTGCCCCTGGGCCCTCGGGGGCCATGCCTCTCTCTGCCACTTACCAGCTACTCCGCTGGGAGCAGGTCACCCACTCTTGTTGTGCAGCCTCACCAGCATATGCTGAGGGTCCAGCGGCGGGGGCTGGACATCAGAGAGTCCCCCTGGGTATCCTGGACGTTCAGAGGACCTGTGCAGACTGTATTCCACCCTCTCAGGTTTCAAAAGCTTCTCCCTGACGTCCGTGGAGCTGCAAATGCTGACCAACTCCTGTGTCAAACTTCAGACCGTCCACAGCATTCCGCTGACCATCAACAAAGAAGGTGAGCCATCCTCCCGAGGACTGACGTCCTTTTCTGCTGTTAGTCTGTCCTTGGGCCCCTGGATTTCCATTCCAAAGGAATGTGTGTGTTGTTTAGAGCCTGCTGGCCTCTCCCAGGAGTGGACAGGGCGGGTTAGGAGCTGTCTTTCCCGGGGTGGTAGTCACTGGGTGGTTGAAGAGACCAATAACCTCCGTCCTTCATCCCGAGATACTCCTCTAGACCCCCTGTGCTATAGAACTGGTCCTACCCCCCTGTCCTGCCAGCCCTCCCCAGCCAGTGGCTTCTTGCCACACCTTTGGTGGTTCTGTGTTTTGCATTCACTGTCACATACACTCATGTACACGGAGTCACACACACGAGTATGCACACACACACCCAATCCAAGTCGCATGCTACCCCAACCCCTCTCCTGTCCTTATTACTTTTCATCTTGGTTTCATCTGCCTGTTTTGTGAACACAACCAGATACCGAAGTCCCCAAGACAGGCCACTGTTGATATGTTTCTGGTCCATGACGTCTCCTTGCCCCATGCTGGGCGAATGGCAGGCACAGAGTGCCCCCTAGTGGGTTGATTGTGAAGCAGAGCCTGTTACCTGCCTCCCTGTCAGGATAGACGCTCAGCTCTGTGGTTTCTTGTACAGATGATGAATCTCCAGGGCTCTATGGGTTCCTGAATGTCATCGTCCACTCCGCCACCGGCTTTAAGCAGAGTTCAAGTAAGTGGCTGATTTGGGGAAGAAGGCTGCAGGGCACTGAGCCAGAGGGTGTGGGGAACCAGAGAAATGGCTCGAATTACCATCAGGCATCTTTAACCTCTGACCTCTGGGGGTGTCGACGTGGAGTTGTTTTCCTGGAGTGGACCCTGCCCTTTCCTATGCCTGTCTCGGGTCCTGTGAGCTAGTGAGCTGACCCCTGTAGGTGGGTCTTGTAACTGAAGGGGCACGAGATTGCTACAGACGGAAATCGCAGCCTGAGGTTCCAGGACAGGAGGGCCGTGGGCAGCCACACCTGGGTCCTCATCAGCAGAGTGCTTGGCTGCTCTGACAAGCGAATGGATACCCTTTTCCTTCTTCCCTTCCAAGGCGATGGGCGGTCTCTCCCAGCTGCTCGAGCTGTGAGAACGGTGAGGGCTGGTCGCATTTCAGTCCAGGTGCAATGCACAGTACACCTCTCAGCATGGCACCTCCACACAAGGGCTCAGGGTCCCTCATGTGAGGACATAGGGCAGGCACCGTTCTGCTGACCTTTCCCACCATTGCTACAAAATAAGAAATCTGCAACAAGGCACAGAATAGAAGACATTTACAACTGTATGCATGAGAGAAGGGACTTGTATCCAGAATATATAAAGACTGCTTACAACTCGATACCCGAAGAGACAGCCCAATTAAAAAAAAAAAAAAATGAACTAAAGATTTGGGTAAGCACTTCACCAAAGAAATACAAATAACTGATGAGCACATGAAAAGATGCTCATTGTCTTAGGGAAATGTAAACTAAAACCAGAGCGAGCTACACCTTCTTACTGGGAGCGTGATAATCAAAAAGATAACGTGTTGGCAGGGATGTGGAGAAATCGGAACCCTCAGATACTGCTGGCGGGGATATGAAATGGTTCACCCTCCCTGGAAGACAGTTTCACAGTTTCTTAAAATTTAAGGTCAACATGACCCAGCAACCCCACTCTGGTATTTCCTCTAGAGAAATGAAAACATGTGTCTGCAGAAAGACTGACATGAATGGTAAAACATGGCTCATCCGTGCAATCGAACACTGCTCGGCAATAAAAAGGAATGAGCTGACATAGGCAACAACACGAGTGAACCTAAAAAAAAATAAGCTGAATGAAAGACACCAGATGCGAATGACTACGTGTTGTTGCCTGTATCTGCCATTTCTAAAAAAGGGAAAATAAGAGACAGAAAGTGTATCGGTGGTTGTCTGGGACTCAGGGTGGGAGGGGACTGGCTGCACGCGAACCCAGGGGACTTTTGGGTGAGGGCGGTGGCCTGACATGATGGTGGTGTCGTTGGCACAAGTGTTTAAATTTACTAAAAATCCTCAAACCATACACTTAAAATGGATAGACTGTATGGTATACAAATTACACCTCTGTAAAGCTGTAGCACCCTCAGTTGTTCCCCTGGGCCCCTCTCTCTCGGGCTGCCCCCTAAATGCTGGTATTTCCTGGACTTCCATCGGGCCCCCCCACTCACCGCACATATTCCCTTCTTCCTACTCCCATCAATGCAGGTGGTACCCAGATCTCCCCCTCTGTCCTCACCTCTCTCCCGGCCTCCTTCTGTCACCTTTCCACCTGCTTCCTCAATGTCCCATACTCTACACTCCGCATCCTCAAACTGAACCTCTTACTCGTGGCCCCCAAACTCGTTTTTATTTTATGTCCTGCCCCAGTGAGAGGCATCACCCTCCACCGTGTGGCCAGGCCAGAAAATACCATCTTATTTGCTGGTCGTATAAGTGAGACGCCACTCTATATTAGTGCAGTTTCTTTATCATCTCTGGCCACCTGCTACATAGCCTTTGTCCAGCCCTCAGCAGAGGCCTCCTCCCTGGGCCCCACCACCAGGCCTCGCACCCTATTTCTCCCCCTGCTACCCAGTAACTCTCCCTGCACTGTGTTGCTTTCAGTGCCCAGCACCCTTTGCCCCAATTTACCTGGTAAAACTTGTGGCAGGGTCTGCACAGCTCATAGGCACTTGCCCTACCCTCACCTCTGGCCTCGGGTCCTGCTGGTGGTGGTGGCACATTCAGCTCTGCCCTGCCCACCAGCCGTGGGGCCCTGCTCTCCTAGGGGCTACAGCCAGGGTTTGCTAAGTGACCCAATGAGCCAGTGTTCTGAGCGCAGCCAGTCCCCAGCTGCACCCGCGGGGCTGGGTCATTGAGTAAAGGGGCTGGTCCAGTTTGGTGTTTTATTTAAAAAAGAAAATCAAGACCTTTTTTTTTTCTGATTTGAAAAATAGTACTTGCTCTTATAAAAAATGCAGATAGTGTGGGACAGCGATGTCACCCTCTCGTGTCACTCTCCTGCAGATTTGTACTGCACCCTGGAGGTGGACTCCTTTGGATATTTTGTGAATAAAGCGAAGACGCGTGTCTATAGGGACACGACTGAACCCAACTGGAATGAGGTGAGGTGCTGCTCCCAGCAAGTTCTTGATGCAGATACTGCCCTTGGAGAGAATCTAAACCCTCAGGGGCTCCCTGATGGCTTTTCCTGCAGGCAAGGCCACCAGCATTCCAGGAATCTCTTGGGGAGAGTGTGACTCATCCAAGAGATTTTTATCTCCTTATTCTTGAGAATTTTACCCTCCCTCCCCTATCACAAAGAAATGATCTATTTTTCTGGAGAAGTGTTTTTAAAAAGAACTTAAAAAAGCCTTTCGTGCTGTCATTGTTACTGCTTAGTGTTTACTTAGTAAATTTCCGTAACATTTTTTCTCCAAATGTTGGAATGAGTCCCCTGTGACCTTTCGATTTCCGGAAGCCTGGGGCTTTGACATCGTGGGGACCTGAGAGGAAAGGTCCGCTATGCTTGCCCATGGTATTGGGTGTGCGGGTCGCCACTCTGTCTTCCTCCACCTTGGAGAGCTCTCGTTTAACCCGCGTACAGAGCTAGCTTGCCTTCCGCCTCTGGGGAGTGGAGAATGACGACAGCCACGCCAGCCTTGATGAAGTCCCCAGATCCACATGAGATGACATTTCCAGGCTTCTGGAACAGCTGCAGCCCCGAGAGCCTCGTGCTTGAGGACATAGTGAAGGCAGCTGGGCTGCAGAGAGCTGCCACTCACCTGCTTCTCTGCAGAGGAGGAAGCTGAGACTCATCTGGCTGCCTCGTCCCCGTGTGGCTAGTGGGGTGTGGGGCCAGAACTCAGGTCTCAAGCATCCAAAAAATCTCAGCCTCTACTACTCTGATCATTAGACCTGCTGCTTCACTGGGACTGGAGAATGAGGAGATAATAGAATTACCTGGGTATAATAGTTCTGGGCGTCCCTCCCTGCAGAAAGGGCTGTGTGGCTGCTATGACAAAGGAGGATCAGAGCCGAGTGGATCCATTAAAGCAAGCTTTGTAGAGAGCGAGAGGACTGTGAACTGACAGGCAGTGAGGTGGGGAGGGGCGTGGTTCCAGACACTACGCAGAGGGTCCAGGTGCAAGGCAGCCGTGGGGACTCAAGAGACTGAGGCACAGGATTCCACAGCAGCAGGTCACCTGGAGGCCACCCTGACTGTTCCTGCGGGTTCTCCGGGGGTCTACATCTTCCTGGCACACATAGCCTCCCCACCCCCATTCAGGCTCAGAAATACCTGGCTTTGTTTTTTCTCCCCTCACCCTTTTCCATTTCCCCATCAAGGACCCATGCCCATAAAAGCACTGGTGTGAATTGCAGAATTTACTGAAGGTATGTGGGATGATGGAGGAGAAAGTTAACACCATACAACCCACCGCAGACAACTCGAAAGCCCATGGGAGCAGTTCTTTCCCCTCAAG